ATTGGCCATGCTGCCTGGTCCAATGCGTGACCAACTTGGTGCCAGCCACCCTCTTCTCACTGTGGCAGTCCAGGCCTGTGCCCTCCTGGCTGGGCTGTCATGAAGCGTCAAACCAGGCAGAGTTGGAAAGTCCCTTTAGGATCAGCCATCATGGCCCCTGTGGTTTTCAGATGGGACAGTTGAGGTCCAGAGAGGGGAAGCAGCTTGCCCATGGTCCCACAGGGAAAGGAAGGGATGGCCATGCCTGGAAACCAGTACTTCAAGGTCTTATCAGGTAGGAAAAAGGATCAAAGGATACTGTGACACATGCTAGAGTGGATCTGAGGGGAGGCCCTTGAGATTGGAAGGCCAGAGGGGCCTCCAAGAGTCTGAGCCTGGAGCTGCTGTGTGAAAGGAGTGCTGGACAGAGGGAACAGAAAGCAAAGGACTGGACAGGGATGAGCTTGGGAAGGCTGGTGGCCAGCACAGACTCGGAGCCACCATCACGGGCAGTGCCTGACGGGGCAGGGCCTTCTAGACTTCTGTGGAGTTCGCATTTCAGTTTAAGTTAGGGAACGACACCACGGAGTTTAGAAGGTGACTCTGAACAGACAGTTCTCCAGAGAAGGGACTGAACAATGAACACACCAAACAACACTGAAATTTACCGGCCACCAGGGAAATGCAAACCAAAGCCACAAAAGTACCACTTCCCACACGCCAGGATGGCCGTCACACGGGAGACAGTGCCAAGGCAGGGCAAGGAGGCAGAGAAGGGCCCCACGCAGGGCTGCTGGGAATGCAAAAGGTGCGGCCACTGTGGAAGCAAGTCCAGCAGCTGCTCAGAGCAGGAAATGGATTCACCATGTGGGTACTTCTACCCCTGGGTATGAGCCCAAGAAAAATGAATATATACATTCCCCCAAAGTCCTGTGCACAAGTGTTTGCAGCAAAATCAAAAGTGAAAACACCCCTAAAGCCCGACAGCCGATGAAAGGATAATAAGGTGTGGACTGAGTGACCCCTGCAATGTAATACGGTCAGCCACAGGAAGCATGCAGGGCTATGTACCCTGTCGCAGATGTGCCTCGAAAACATCATTCTGGGGTAAGAGGCCACTAACAAAAGGCCATATGTCATATGAGTCCATCGGCACAAAAATGTCTAGAAGAGATGAATCTACAGAGATAGATCAGTGGCTGGGTGGGAGTGGGGACCGGGAGGGTGGCTCCTCACAGTCACAGGAAAATGTTCGGAAATCAGATGGCAGTGATGGTTGCCCACCTCTGTGAAGATGCTAAAACACTGACCTGCACAGTTTAAAAGGGTGGATTTTACAGTAGAGCATCTCTATAAACCTATTATGATTAAAAAAAGAGATCACCCTGGTTGCTGATGGGGACAGAGATTCTGGAAGCAGGGAGGCCTGGTGGCCCACAGGGCAGTCACAGGACCAAAGTGCCCAGCATAGGAAGCACTTAGTGAATACCTGTGGCTTCCTGGTACATGCCGACCCCAGGCCAGGAAGGCCCCTCTCTTCTAACCCAGGCTCAGAAGCTAAGCACCAGGACCATCTTGGACAGGGCTCCTTCTTTGATGTGCCTTGTGGAATGCCTAGCAGCCTCCCTACCTCCACGATGCCAGCACATTCCTCCCCATCATGACAATCCAAAATACCTCCAGGTGTTGACAAGTGGCCCCCACTTGAGAACCCTTGTTCTAGCTTCCCCCTTGGGGAGCCCCTGCTCTTCCCTGCAGAACCACTCCAGCTATCACTCTGGGACTGTCTGCAGCCCCTGAGGTCTCTCAGTTTGTAAACACCCTGAGCCAAGATCTAAGGACCCTGTCCATGTCACTCTCCATCAACCTGTCAGCACCTTAGGGACCTTTGGGCCCCAGTACCCAGCACAGAGCTGAGCTCTTCAAGGTCACCATGGAGCCCTTTCTTCCCCTCCACAGCACAGAGATGTTTCTGCTTTAAACTGTCACCTGTGGGGACCCCGGGGAGCAGATCTGAACAGGATGTTGAAGGAGGAGGAGGAAGACCACTGAGCAAAGAAGGGCACTGTGGGTGAGAGGAGCTGCCTGGGGGAGCCTGGGAGGTGCGTACGAGCACAGCTGGGTACAGACCTCTGCAGATAGACCAGCGAAGGGCAGGCAGACAGAGGTTCAATCCCACAGCTGGTAGCTGGAGGGAATAAGGGCAGAGACTGGACCATGGTGGCCATGTATGCTATAAGAACTTTGCACCTGACCCACTGGGGAATGGGGAGCCTCGGACTAGTTTTGAGCAGCGGAGCAACAGTCTCAGATCCCTATTATCAAACTGACAATGGGATAAAATATGCATCAGAATTAGAGGAAACCAGACAAGAGATAAGAGGAAGGTGAATATTTCAATCTGGCAAACACCCTAGGGACAATTTGGTCTCCACGATGGACCTGGAGGCCCTCAGAAAATGGGTGCCCATTTTATAGAACCATACAGCACCTTCATTTGTGCAAGCCCCCCCCTTCCTTCTCCCATCAAGACCTCAGCACTAGCAGCAGACAGGTCTATGTCTGCTAATCATTAAAGCGCATGCTCATTGAATCCAACCTGCAAAGCCCAGGGAACAAATCTCCCATAATCCTAACGCCTACAGGCAAACACCATTAACCTTCAGCCGATTTCCTTCCTGTCTTTTGTCTAAACTCTTGCCACAATATGGGGTGACCATGTTATATATATGCCAATGCATAAGCATTGAAAACTCTCCAGTTTTAGTAGCCCATGGCTGTCCCTATTGTCGGGCATTACAGGCACTCTGTGATTGTGGATGAGTAGCTTGGCAACTGAAAGAGCCTTTGTTTGTATCCCCATCACTTCATCTGGATGTACTCTTCTTTTAAAACATTTTTGGCAAAGGAACCTCCCTGGCTTGCTGAGATAGCCTTTCTCCCATCATCGGGGAACTTCTTTCCCAAGAATAAGCTAAATTCTTGGGACTGGACCTTAATCCTGCTTTTCCTTCCTTGGGGTGTTGGTGGAGAAGGACCACAGCTGGCCCTTTTTCCCCATGGACATGTCGGCTGGGAGGGCCACTTCCTTAGTCATCAGCCTAGGTCAGGGAGCAGAAAGTGCATGCTAGTGACCCCAGGGAAACCAATCTAGGCTGAGACTAATGGACCCATGTTACCTGGAACAAGGACAAGGGAGGAAGGAAAAACACGGCCCGTCAGCCTGACATCAGCTTCCTACGTAGTACTGAATAGCAGCCTTCCTTCCTTCCAGACCCCTAAAGAAATCCCTGGGCAGATGAACCTGCGGCCCACTGCCAGCCTTCAGGCTCACCTTTGCCAGTGACCACATATGTGGCAGCTCTTCCTCCTACACATGCAAAAGAAACCAACGCTGATCAGGTGCACGAAGGGGCCAGGCCCTGTGCTATGCATTTTACTAGTCGTCTTTGGAGGCCAGCATGGTAACATGAGAAACACCCCGGAGGCAGGCAGACAGGGGTCCAATCCCACAGCGGGAATTTTCTAGCAATGAAACCATGTGGAAGTCACTTACTTCCAGGAGCCTCAGTTTCTTCATCTGTAAGTTGGGGTTCAACGTCACTGGTTTCCCAGGGTTGCTGTGATGATTATAGCCAACACCATACACATAACACACCTTGCACCAAGCTGCACAGAGCAGGTGCTTCAGAAAAGTTATTTTCTCATGATTTCCAATTCCTCTTTTACCCCAGCAACATGTATGTCAAGAAATGTAACATATTCAATTGCCTTTGATAAACTCCAGGGATGAGGAGCTCATTAATAGACAGGAATTCATGACTTCCTCTTAGAATAAGGCAACTATGAGCTGGGGGTGTAGCTCAGTGGTAGAGCGCTTGCCTAGCATGCATGAGGCACTGGGTTCAATCCTTAGCACCACATAAAAACAAATAAATAAAATAAAGGTTTGTGTCCATCTACAACTAAAAAAAAGAATTAAAAAAAAGAAGGCAACTATTGACAAAAACTGTCATCTGAGAGATGTCCTGCCTTACAGAAGCATGAGCCTCTGGGCAAGAATGGGGTGGGAGTGAGGTCCTGGGACCCCATTCCCTGGTCCTGCTTCAGGCTTAACTGGGTGACCCCTAGCTCTACCCCTTTATTATTTCTGGCAAGGGAGACAAAGAGGACCTGGTGCATACAAATGAGTTCCCTGGAAACGTGAGGACTCTAGGGTCACTTAAGTTTGGTGACAGATGCCACCCGGGGACACCACAGCTCACAAGCACTTTCCAGCCCCACCTCCTTATCCTCACAACCACCTCAAACGGGGCGTTAACACGGAGCTTGTCACTAGGGAGGAAACTGAGGCTCACAGGCTCAAGGTCATTGGGATTCTTAAGGGGCCCAGAAGAATCGGAGGGGAAGCCACTTGCCCGCCTCTTCTCACAGGGGAATCCCTCTCCAGATGCCCTGGGAGGAGTCCCGCCCAGCTGAACGCTGTCCCACTGGCTACCAGGCTTTGGCTAAGCAGCCCGGGAGGACCAAGGCCAGTGTTCTGATTCCTGAGAAACTAGGAGGTCCCCTCCCGCCAGCCGGGGGCCCTCCGCTGGCATTTCTAGAGCAGAGTCCATCCGTGCTCCCACAGACACATCGCCCCAGGAAAATGCCACCCACCGCCCAGACCCGGGGACAAAACAGAGACTTTCCACGCAAGTGGACTTTCCAAATCTACCCTTGGGCGGGCGGTAGCAAGGCAGAACTGACCCGCATCCCCTGCTGTGCCGGATCCCAGGCTGTGCCCCTGGCTCGCGACGACCGGGTGCGGCCACGATCCCCGAGGGTCAGAGAAGGAAACTGAGACTCCCGGGCGCAGGAGGCACTTGCCCAAGGTCGGGCGCTGCTAGAGATGGGGCCACGACAGCCGCGGGGACCGGGAGCCGCAGCCCAAGGCGGCCCGAGCGCCCGCCGCGCCCAGCGCCACCCCGCCCCCCGCGACCCTCGGCGAGCCAGGCCCGCGGGCAGCGTCGCCACCTTACCTGGGGCTGCGCGGGGCGGATCGGCACGGCCTGGGCCCCGCACCGCCGCTGCGCTCGGGGCAAGGAGGGAGCGGGCGGCGCGCACAGCCCGCGCCCCGCGCCTCGCACCCACTTCCTCGTCCCGCCCCCGGCGCGCCTCCCGCGGGCGCGCCTCCCCCTCCCGCTCGCTCCCGCCGCCGCGCACACGCACGCACGTGCTCCGCTGCCCGCTTCCAGCGCGCCCACCTGGGCTTCGCTCCTTTCTCCTGGACTTCCTTCCGTGCGCCCCACGCTCCCTTCTTGGTTCCTGCCGTCACACCGCCTTGAAAGCTCTCGCTTCTTCTCTTGGCTCCTGCCCACTCCCCACCACTGCACTGGGACATGCCCCGCACCCAGGGCCACACCCTGGCCTGAGACCTGCGTCCACCTGTGCAGACACTGGTCTGGTGGACAGGGACTGGGCCCTAGGCCCAGAGATCAGTTGCACCCCTTACCTTAGTTGCCCGGGTCCCAGCTGCTGGAATCAGGCAAGGAGGGAGAAAAACACTAGTTTGATGGAAAGGCCAGGGTAATTCTGAGGTTTAAAATATAAAGGGCAAGAGGATGGTGGGCACATAAAAGTCAGTGAGTCCAGGTGTTATTAAAGGAAACTCCGTGAAAACTCCAAAAACTCTCCCGTGGATTTGTTCTGATGGAAGGGTGCATGGGAAAGTAGGGAGGTGAGTCTTGGGAAGAGGGAATTTGGGGGTAGGGAAAATAACACCCACTTTCCAGGTGAGAAAGTGGGAGGTTTGGGTGGGGGCACCCATGACCTACATGTCAGGATGTGAAGGCCATGGTGCTAACACAGACCTCAGTGAGGGGAGCCTGTCAGCCGGACAGCCAGGGCGCTGTGCCAGGCTCAGGGCAGCAGCCCACTGTAGGGGTGGCAGGTGGTCAGATGGGCAGCCCCTAGTTGCTTGGCGAATCTGATATGTGGGTGGGGAGTTTCTGCAGAAGCTCGGCGAAGAAAAGCAAACCAAGAAGCTTCAGCTGGATGTAAATTGTAGACATGCATCTGCAGCTTGGTGTGCCACCTGTAGCCACTCAGTCACCATGTGACCCAGCACTGTGCAGGATTGAAATGCATAGACTAAGGGCCACACACAGTCCCCTAGAGCTCTGAGCCCACAGTGTCCAGGGAGGGAGGCTCTTGTTGCAGCACGTCCAAGTCACACGTCATGGAATGAATGAAGAGCCTCCAAGTGGGTCTTTCGGTCTCTTCTCTTGCCCACCTGCAGTTCACAAGCAGGCGAGGCTTCTGCACAGTGTAAATCAGATTCTGTCTCTACTGCTTGGCTTCCACCCCTCCCGTCACTTCCTGTTGTAATCTGAATGAAATCTAGCTCCTTCCAGTTGCCAGGAGAGCCCCTCCCCAAGATTACCAGACCCTCCTTTGGTCCTCTTGTCTCTGCACTCACTGCCTCTCTCCATGTGTTATAATTGACATCAGGAATGTCTCCCCAAAGGCTCATGTGTTGAAGATTTGTCCCCCAACCAGTGGCACTACTGGGAGGTAGTAAACACCTTAGGTGTAGTTGGAGGAAGTAGGTCCTTGGGGACATGCCCTTGAGGAATTTTTCTTGTCCTTGGCCTCTCCCGGCTTCTTGTTCTCACTCTTTCTCCCTCTGCTCCCAGCTTTTTTTTTGCCATGAGGTGAGCTTCTCTGCCCCACCATGCCCTCTCCACCATGATGTTCTGCCTCCTTCACTGGCTCAAAAACAAGCCAGCTGACCATGGACTGAAACCCTGAGCCAAAACAAGCCTCCTCTCCTTTTAAGTTTTTCCTCTGGTATTTGCTATACCATCAGAAAGCTGACTGCACAGTCGGCCTCAACTGCAATGGCGTCCTCTGTGTTCCTGGGACAGCCCATACTGGACAGACCACAGGCCGTGTGCCAGCTGGTCTTTCTGCCTGGAGTGCTCTTCCTGCTTCCCGTGGCTGTTTGAATGCTGCCTTCTCCGAGAGGTCACCTCTGGCCACCTTATCTAACGCAGTCACAGTTTGCTGGTGGTTTTTATGGCACCCTTTTTCATTGTAATGGACAGATCTGTCACTGTCTAAAATTATTGTCTCTTCACTTATCTACATGCTTACTGTCTGATTTACCTCACCAGGACCTCGCTGGTGAAGGATCAGGGGCCTCGTCAGCGTGGTTCCTATGTCTCCCCACAGCCAGACAGTGTTCCCTGGATGAGTGATATGGCCTGGATCCGGAACATCTCCCAGAGGCTCCTGTGTTGACGGCTTGTCCACCATGCAGCCATGTTCAGAGTGGGGCTGTGGGAGGTGACTGGACTGTGAGGGCTCTGCCCTCACCAGTGGACTGATCCATTGATGGATGTTGGAGTGGTCAATAGGGAGATGGGGGAAGATGTTGGAGGTGGGACCTAGTTGAAGTGTGTGGCTCTGCAGGGGCATTCCCTTGGGTACTGTCCCTGGCCTGCCTCCCTGACCTCTCTCTCTGCTTCCCAGCTGCTGTGAGCTGAGCGGCTCTTCTCTGCTGCACCTGCCACCATGATGTCTCTGCCTTGGCGCCAGCCCACCGTGGACAGAAACCTTTTAGACTGTGAGCCAAAATCAACCTTTCCTCCTCTTTTGGAGATTTTCTTGGGTATTTGTCACAGCAATGGAAAGCTGACTAACAATGAGTGAATGAATAAATGCTATAATTAAGGGTTTTAGAAAAAGGAAAGGTTGGTTGACCCTGCGAGGGGAAAAGAAAATTGTCTTCAGAGAAGAGCTTATAGTTGGGTCTCCTCATTTGCAGTTTCTGCAACTGACAGTTTGATCAACTGCAGGGTAATATCAGGAGGAAAAAATTACATCTGTTCTGAGCAAATAAAGACCTTTCCTTGTCATTATTCCACAAACAGTATGGCACGACTGTTATCCCCATAGCACTGTCATAGTATCAGGTATCACAGCCTTGTAGCATGACTTCACATACACGGGAGGGTTGTGTGGGTTCTGTGTGAACACCAGGGCATGTTGGAGAAGGGATTCGGGCATTCCTGGATTGAGGCGTGGGGAAGGGTCCTGGAACCAATCCCCTGCTGATACGGAGGGACCACTGTTATTTCATAGCCAGATCATAACAGAACACAGCATTTCACAAGATGGAGAGAGAAGAAGGCCCTAGAAGCCGAGGAAACAGCACAGGAAAAGCACCCAGGGGCACAAGGCCTGGGTACTCGGGGCGCTCATCTATCTGGCACAGTTGCACACTGAGGTACCAAGAGCAGAAGGTGTAAGTCGATGCAGAGGAGGGGCCTCAAGGAAGCAGATGGGGGGAGGTTCTGAGGATATGGGTGGGGCTGGGCTTGATCCTGAGGCCAGGGGCAGGGCTCCAGCCAGCCCCAGCAGATGTGTGCTGTGAGCTTGGTTGTGGTCCTGAGAGTTCCTGGAGTCATCCGGTCCTGCTGGATGGTCCTGGTCCCTGGGTCTGCCTCACCTAGCCGCAGGCTCAGGCTGCTTCCAGCACTCCCTGACTGTCAGATTTCCCAAGACGACTGTGACAGTTCAGCTCAGGCTCCTTTGCAATGGGACAGCTGCCCCTTGCCCAAAGGTGGAGACTAAGTGATGCCTCTGGGATCTGGCTGGGCCCTGTGGCTTGCTTTGACCCAAAGCAGCAACACTGTGCAGCTTCTGAGGTCAGGCCCCAAGAGACCATCATGTTCCGGTTGCCCCTCTCGGACCAGTGTCCATGGAGACGATGGACAGGAAACCTCCAGGAGACAGATGCTCGGCTGTTCCAACTGTCTTAGCAGACCTTCCCAATGACTGTACCGACGCAACCTGTGGGTACAGCCACTTGAGTGGACATAGGTGAGACCAGCTCCAGACCTGAGGGACAGGATGTGTCCTTTGAGGAGGTTTGTGACATAGCACTGAATAACTAGATGAGTGGCCTTGGGGTACCAGGGCCTGTCTCTGAGCCCACTGCCTTCATCATGAAGCAGGCACACAGTAATGTCTGCTGTGCAGAGTTTGGATGAGACTCAGGTGTTAAAAGGAGGATCTTAAGTTCGTTCACTCACTCATTCATCCGTGCTTTCACTGGTAGGTGTGTACGGAGTGCCTGCTGTGTGTGTGGCCACCTGGTCTGCTCTGGGATTCAGTGATGAACAAGGCAAACGTGGACCTGTGGTGCTAGAGGGGCATGAAATAGACCAGATAGTGTCCACTAAAGATAATTGTCACGAGGAATTGAAACAGTCATGTGATGGAGAGCGGCTGAGTACTTGGGGAAGGTTGTTCTGAGCTGAGCCAGGCACAGGAGGGCAGAGGGAGCAGCATCCCCATGGGTGGGGGTAAGTGCAGGTGATGGGGCAGGGAGGAGCTCGGGCTCCCCAGGAGTGTGGGAAGTCAGCACGCTGTGACTGAGAGACAGGGACGGTGGCCAGCCAAGGCTGGTGCAGGGCCTTTAGGCCACAGCGAGGTGTGTGGATTTCATCCTAAAGGAGTGGAGCCACCGGAGGGCGACCGGGTGGTGACAGCTGGGTTCCCACTGGAGCACTTCAGGAGTGGCCACTCAGCTGATCAGGATGGCACTGATCACTCTAAAAACCCCCAGTTCTGCACTAGATCTGAAAGCCTTCAAATCTCCTAGGAGCCCTTCATCATCCTGGTTAGCAGTATTCAGAACTGAGGCTCCCCACTTTGCCAGGGGGCTTTGGGATACGAAGCCCCAGTGCCCAGCTCTGAGTGGGTACTGAGAGCCACCTCGCAAGGGAGTAGGAGGAAGCTTCTCATTCTGAGGAAACCCAAGCCACGATTTGACCAAAATAGAAAAAAAAAAAAAATGTTCTTTCTTTGAATGAGTAATCTCTGCAAATCCCACTGCTTGAAATCGAACAAAACAAAATCAAAAACAAAAAAACAACACCCCAAACCCAATAATAAAATAAGGAATGACACAGTACGGTGGTGACATTTGGTGAAGTGGCCTGTGGACAATACCAGTGAAAACCCACTGTTTTGTCATGGGCTGTCTCCACCCTGAGTTCTGAGAGAATCTAGGCTTGGG